CGCCCAACAACTGAGCCACCCAGGCGCCCCAAAATATTTCTTTACCGTAGTTTTAATAGGGCTTTAGGAGGGAGGTGAAATTTCCTATGTGTATTCAGTACGCTATTTTACCAAAACACGGCTCATTTTTTTTAACTACTCCTTTACAGCCATTTTATATTATTGACTTAATCTTCCTGTCAAAGGCAGGTGTTCTTCGTGGTTCATCCTCCTCTTTTTGGTCTTTTCACATAACATATTTTCCCTCAGCTTTATTATTTTTTAATGTAATTATTTTCTTCTCATACTTGTATGTTTTTTACTCTCCCTGAAGTGAAGCACATCACATAAACTCTATACCCCTCTTTGAAGACAGCTGACATAAAAGACCCCCTCCCATCTTACCTCTGCCTGTTCCTAAAATCACATCCATCCTCAGAGCTGTCAGCATGTTTCATGCTGTTAAACTGCTACTGCTACTCTCTGCTATTCTCTGAGCATGTCACACCTTCCCTGTGCTTCTGTATTTTTGTACATGCTGTTCCTACTTTCTGGGATTTCTGCTCTAACTACTGATTTCTCTCCCCAGTTCCTCCCTCCTTTCCTGACAGACTTCTGAAGTCTTAAGAATCTCTGCTTAGGTAGTCTCTTTCTGCAGATTTCTTTCATCTTCAATCCTTCAAGCTATAGTTGATCATCCCCTCTATTTATAGCACGTAGAACACTATATTGCAATTATTTATTTATACAGCTTGACTACTTCAACTGGATCATGGCTGAAACTCAGTAACAAATCCTTTCCCTCTCCAATGTGCCTTTTTACTATGACTGTGTAGACGGATATATAAATAAATGTGCTCTGTAAACCACAAAGCACTATTATATTATCATGGTAATTATATTCGGTGATTTTCAAGAGGAGGTTGCCTTTCTGATAATCAAACATCTTCAGTTTTTTTATTCTACCATTTCACCTTTCTTTCTCATCATTTACTTTTATAAAATATAAGATATAAAATTACTTGGGATGGGGGAGAGGACTATCTGCAGATGAGAATTTTTCAGTTCATTGAGAAGACATTTACATTATAGAAACTTGGCGATTTATAAATAAGAGAAATTCAGGGTCATTGTTAAGGAGGTGAATGGATAAGCCTTTGATTTAATTTATTTTCTTTCCCAGCACTCTCTTTCGCCTTAGAGTGCTCAGATCTAAGATGCTATCCTCAAATAGTACATATAACAATTTCTTACACTCCTAGGTTAACCAGTACCATGCATGTGAAAGGGTCTAATAGACTTATTCTGATGCTGACTTCATTTTATTTATGTTATGTTTATATGTATGTATTTATTTATTTTAAAGATTTATTTATTTATTTTGAGGGAGAGAGAGAGAGAGCAGAGGGAGGGGCAGAGGGAGAGAGAATCTCAAGTGGACTCCCTGCTGAGTGTGCAGCCCTACTCAGGGCTCGGTCTCATGACCCTGCGATTAGGACTGGAGCCGAAACCAAGAGTTGGTCGCTCAACGGACTGAGCCACCCAGGTGCCCCTAGACTTCAGTTTATCTTTTGTGTCACCCTCTTTAACTCCGTTTTTTTAAGTCTTTCAGAAATTATTCAGACTTAGTGAACATTAAGTATAGATACACTTAGTGTATTTTTAAAATAATGAGTACTTTACTAGAAAATATAGTATAAAGCTGAATGTTGTAAAACAGATCTTTTTTCTGAAAAATAATGTTGGAATTGGGATTTTTTTCCCACAGCTAAGGATTTGGTGTAAATATGTTGTGAAAACAAAGATAAAGCTATGTAAGTTTTAATAATTTAAGATAATAAAGTATTAAATGAACTTAAATGAATTTGATTTTATAAGGAGTTACTCATTTATTCAACCAAATCTTCTTTCACTCTATTCAGATCTTGAATTCTACCACCTTTGCCCTTACTTTTAGTTTATGACCTAATTTCCAACATCAGGAAAATATGAAAGCCATCAAGATGAGAACTCTCGCTAAAAATATTTCTCCTTCTAACCCTATCTAATTTTTCCCCAGCATTTCAGTCTTTGCTCTCTGAATTTTTACCTCTCTCTCTCATATCAGCAACTCCTTTTCTCTGGGTTCTTCGTGTCAGTACTTAACCTATTCAAGTCTTTTCCATCTTAAAAAAAATAATAATAATTCTTTAACCTTGTGTATTACTCCAGCTACCGACGTCCTTTTCCCCTTCAAATACCTACACTCACTGTCTTAGTTTGCTTATGCCCCATTCATTCCTCAGCCTTCTGCTGTACACATTCTGCCACTATATCACTCCAACTATTTTTGCCTCGTCTACTGTCTGGTGACTTCATCATTGCTAAATGCAGTGGACACATCTCCATCCTCACCTTACTAGCTTTCTTTGCAGCTTGTGATACTATTTACTATTCTGCCCTTTTTCAAAATCTTTTTTTTTTTTTTTTTTGGCAGTCCTCTTTGGTGTCACTTTACTCTCATGGCTTTAGTTACTATATATATGCTGATTATAGTAAATCAGTGTCTTCAGCTTTCTCTTGAGCTTTAGCCGTGTTTATTCAGCTTGACATTTTTACTTAGGTGTCTCGTATGTACTGCAGACTCAACCTGCACAGAATAGAACTATCATCTTTTTGTTCCCTCAGATCTTTTTCTCCTGCTGTTTTTTATTTCAGTCAGTAATATTGCTGTTAACCTATTGCCAGGGCAGAAATCATTTCTTTGACTCCTCCTCCTTCTGCCCAGTCACCAGGTGCTACTGGTTCTGCCTTATATCGCTCCACTCCAGTCTGTCTACCCCGTATGGCAACCACCATTCTGCAGCTACCACCATCATCTCTCAACTGAGTAATTTTAACACTGTTTACTTTTAACTTCTTTTAACAGGAGCTTCTCTGCCTCCTGCTCTTATTTACTCTCCCTAAGCATTCAAAAGGCAGCCAAAGATGTTTTTTTCAAATATAATATAACTGATATTTTCTCTTTTTTTTTAAGATTTTATTTGTTTGAGGGAGAGAGAGAGAAAGCACAAGCAGGGGGAGTGGGAGAGGGAGAAGCAGACTGTCCGCTGAGGAGGGAGCCTGATGTGGGGCTCGATCCCAGGACCCTGGGATCATGACCTGAGCTGAAGGCAGATGCTTAACCGACTGAGCCACCCAGGCATCCCTAATTGGTATTTTCTTATTAAAGAAATCTTAAATGGAGTGCTTCCTGTTATTCTTGGAGTAAAAAGACTTTTATGTTGTGGTTCCTAATTAATGCCATCAGCCTCATCCCCCATTGTTTACTGTGTCTGTTCACCCTCACATGGTTTTCTCTCACTTCATTTGTCTTCACATTGTGTTTCCCCCTTAACTCATCCCCCCACCGCCATACACACACACCAGCAGTTCTTGAAGTCTGATCTGGGAACTGCTAGTTACCCCCCCACACACACACACACACAATTCTTTCAGAGGGCCCATAAGGTCGACACTATTTTCATAGTAGTGCTATGATATTACAGTTGACCCTTAAATAACGTGGGGTTTTGGGGTGGGTGCTGATAGCGCACCACTATCACTACAGTCTAAAATTCACATATAACTTTTACTTCCCCAAGAACTTAACTACTAATAGCCTTATAGATAAACAGTAGATTAATATATATATTTTTAAACATTTTATTTATTTATTTGAGAGAGAGAGAAAGCATGAGAGGGTCAGAGGGAGAAGCAGACTCCCCGCTGAGCAGGGAGCCCGATGCGGGGCTTGATCCCGGGACTCCAGAATCATGACCTGAGCCAGAGGCAGTCGTTTAACCAACTGAGCCACCCAGGCGCCCAATACATATTTACATGTGTTATATACTGTATTCTTACAATAAAGTAAGCTTGCAAAAAAGTGTTAAGAAAATCATAAAATACACTTATAGTACTGTATTGTATTTATCAAAAAAAAAAATCTCTGTGTAAGTGGACAATGCAGTACAAACCCATGTTGCTCACGGGTCATCGGCATTTCCTTTTCTCACTGTCTCATGAATGTACAGTGGGTTTTTTCCAAACGTGTCATAACCTGATGATATCATTGCTCTGGTGGCTAATAGATATATGCTTTTGCATTCCATGTTTTTAAAAGTTCCATTTTAAAAATCTAATAGGGTAAATAGTGATAGATATAACAAAAACTCTTGAGAGTCTTCAGTAATATCCAAGAGAGTAAAGGGGTCCTGAGTCAAAAATTTTGAGAATTACTGTTTAGGCCTCATCTGAATGGTGCTTCTTTTGAGAATTTTTTGCTTACGTCCTCTACCAGAGTAACCATTGAGTAACCTCTGTGGTTTGCACTTGCCCTGTCATAGCACTTATCATCCTGTATTGTGGTATGTTAGTTATTTATCTGTCTAGGCCAGTAGACACAGAAAGCTCCATAGAAGAAGGAACTTGCTGTATCCCCAGTACTGAGCACAGGTCTGAATACATAGTAAGTGCTCAATAAACACATGTTGAGTGACTCTCTTCAGAGGTATTGGGGGATATGAGGACTATAATTTGTTTGAAATTATCACCATTTTGTACTTTAGTGATACATTCATTTCTTAATTTTTTGACCCTAATTTTTTTGACCCATCAATATCTGAAAGGATTTTAGAAAGCAAGTTGTGTATGTGTGCGTGCCGAGTGTACAGTACACACACACACACACACACACACAAACACACACATGCATATATAGAAAGGAAATGTATACATATTAGAACAGGAAGAACCTATTTCTGAATCTTTGTCTTCCCAAACCATGGAGCCTTGGACAAGTCTTTATTACTTGGAGTCTAACTTTCCTCATCACATAATGGGATTGAACTAGATTATATAAAACCTTTTTCCTATATGATACTATGTGATTACATGTGAAAGGTGTCAAAAGATATTAAGTATGTGATTTATGTATTATATTTTATTAAAAATGCACATAAATTTAGTTTTATCCAAATATTAAAATAACTTTGTTTTTACAGGAAAGATGATAAAGACTATGCTTTAAAACAAATAGAAGGAACTGGGATCTCTATGTCGGCATGTAGAGAAATAGCAGTAAGTGAAGTTCTTTTTATAATCATTATTATCAATTGACTTGAGTGTCAACTATGTAGGTCTCTGAATTGTATTTGCCACATATACACATTAATTGAAAGTTGGTAAATATTTTTCATACTGACGATCTATAGAAAAATATATTTGTTTCCTAAGAGAAATAAAGGTGGCATGTAGTATGTAGTTCTAGCAGAAATAACTGTAAAAATTCATTTATTTGGGAGTAAGTCAATCTTAGTTGTTTATATAAATGTATATTTTTCCAATAAATGTCACTAGATATTAAGGGTCCAGTAATTCTTGTTATTTCATTGGGTACAATAAAAGTAAATTTGTATGAATCTGTATGTTCATTAAAATTAATATTTCTATTTTATTAAGATGAGATTGATGTCATTACTTATGTGAACTTAAAATGAGATTGTGTTACTGATTTTCCTTTTTACCTGTCTGTTCATTTGAATATGTAAAAATACGTGCTGTTTTCTTTTGGAAGCATAGCTTTCCATATGGTATTAGAATCTCATTTTGATTCCAAAAGAAAATATTCATGTTAATGCATTACTAAATAATTATTCACACATTTAAACTGAGTATTACTTCCATGAGATTTTACTTCAGTTTTTACTATTTTAACACTGTGGATCCAAATTTATCTTTTCTGGCTATAATCAAAATATTCTAGAATATATATTATAATCTTTGCTTTTGTCATTTTTAGCCCTTGTATCTACCTGGGTATATTAATTTAAATAATTTTACCCGTTTAACAGATTCTATACCACTGGGTTTTCAGTTATCAACCATTTGTTGTGTGTCATGTTGATGGGAACTAGAGTAGGTAAAAGTAAAGAAACAGAACAAGTGAGAGTCCCTGGCCTTAAATATTTACACACTGATGAGGAAAGACACTCATAAATCTTACAATAATAGTGTACTAAGCACAATGATAGAAGTATGGAGAATGAGAAAATTATCTACATGTAACTGAGAGAATCAAGGAAGGTTGCAGGTTTTGGAAGACACGTAAGAATTACCTCCATGAGGGAAGAGTAGAGGTGAGGTGGAGGGCATTCTTTCTTAACCAAAGGTATGCCATGTTGGAAATTATATTTCAAGTAATTGATAGGTTTTTAATGTTCTTGAATCTAGAGGGAGGATATCTGTACCTTAACTATCAGTTCTTCAACATCTACAGTTCTACATATTCTAGTTAGGTTTAAAGAATTAAAATCCATTAAACTGTGGTTGGTGATGTTAGATGTCATGATGGAGATTACCTTTGGAGGGGTCAGGGAGTGACGGAAGGGGGAGACAAGAGAACTTTCAGGATTCTAGTAATGTTCTGTTTTTTGATCTTGTTCTGGGTCTGGTTATATGGGTTTACTGTGTGAGAACTCACTGAGCTGTGAACTTACGGTTTGTGTGCTTTTCTCTGTTTATTAAACTTCAACAAAATGTTTTAAAAACAAACAACTCCATTCATTTTAGGAACAGACATTCTTCATGTATATGTTGATAACTGTAAATGCAGTTAAGCATAGAAAGAAATGCAAAAACTTATTTTTAATGTATTTGATTATGATTCTTCAACCTAAAGTGAGCAGAAATTTTTATTTTTGATGAAATTTACTAATTTTTCCTTTTTATGACTATTGATTTCTGTATCTGGCTGAAGAAATCTTTACGATTGTGAAGAAATTTTCCTGTGTTTTCTTCTAGAAGCTGTATATTTTTGGTTTTATTTTTTAGTTTATGTTATACTTAATTCATTTTTGTTTGTATAGGTGTGAGGTAAGGTTTGAGCTTCTTTCCCACCTCACCCCATATGAATGTACAGTTGTTGTAACACCATTTTTTAAAAAAGATTCTTCCCCATTGAATTTGTTTGGCACCTTTGTAAAAACTTAAGTGACTGTGTAAGTATGGACTATTTCTGGACTCTATTCTGTTCCATCTTTTTGTCAATACTTATGCCAGTATCAGGTCACTCTAGCTTTACAGCAAGATTTGAAGTGAGACTGTATACGGCCACCAGCCTTATTCTTCTGTTTCAGGATTTGGGGCTATTTTAGGTCCTTTGCATTATCATATAAATTTTTGAATCAGCTAGTCAATTTTTATTTCTAAAATATGCCTGCTGGAATTATAGTTTGACTCAATTCAGGAAATATTGACACATCCAAACCATAAATCTAAAAAGATATACTTTCGGGCGCCTGGGTGGCTCAGTTGGTTAAGCGACTGCCTTCGGCTCGGGTCATGATCCTGGAGTCCCGGGATCGGGTCCCCCATCAGGCTCCCTGCTCAGCAGAGAGTCT